GAGCGAAAACTTCAACCACTAGGCTACTGATCCAGCTGGGGACTGTACTTGGGACCATACTGGGGATACCCCTGTCAGTTCAGAAACAATGTGTTCAGTGTTCGGCTTTATAGTGTTATACAGGGTTTTACCATGACTTAGAAAGTGCTGGACCAGGGGACCCCCATCCACTCATTTTACAGGTCCTTGTTGGTAATAAGTGGGTCCTGTAATTACTAGTGTAAAGTACTGAAATGGTGTTGTGTACTGTACGTTTAGATAATGACTTTACAGCCTGGACAGTGTGGACCATGTGGACAGTTGTCATGCCTGATGGGTGAAATACTACTACTCTTGATATAGGTGATTACTGATGTGATATACGTATGCTTTTGCATCTCTCCAGACTCAGTATTAGGGTTTTTCTACGTCCATTCTCTAACTCAGTGCATACTGAACGCACATTTGTGCGTCTCGTAAAATCCTGGTTATAGAAAGGGATTTCCTTGTTTGCATTAAAATTAGTTATATATATTATGTGAGAAAGTGTTTAATGGACTGTCAGCAGTTTATTATATTTTAAATCAAAATCAAATATCAGTTAAATTTAGCTTGCATGATTCAATAGAATTATTTCAATTATTCAAACAGCTATACACTTGCATTCATGGGGTTTGCCAAATGTATTTTTATGCACACGTTATTTTAATCCAGCAAAACTTTGACCCTTTTACTCATACAAAACATCCTGTATCCTGCTAGAAAACAATATCCCCAAATTACTGAATAATATCATACCAGTACAGTGTTAACGAACACCTACACTTACTTTAGATAAGTCATATCACATATAGCGAGCTCAATATAAAAAGATCAATAGCAGTCCCCAATCAATATGTATTCCTTGTAGAGCATCAGCTGTGCTCTCTAATGATAGCCGACAGAGGAATATGTCACAACAAACTGCAATCGAGTCCAATTTGGGTTAGCCTCAGATGGGTTTTGTTTATATGTCAGTGTAGAAACTATGGACGTCAAAACATGCTGGAATCCTCAAGCAATGCCAGTGGCACTGCCACCAGTAATACAATGTACTGTCAGTGTTATAGATATCATGTATGTTAAACAATGACGAAACAAACATGTCAATATCTGTTACATCAGCACTTTCCATAGCTGTTGTTAGTAAGTGGAGCACCTGTACGTGCTTGGGATTGTTATCATTGCTGTAATATTATATTACCTTTTATGATCCCACATAACTCGATTATGCCCAATGTCATCCAGATATGCAAACACATGCAAGCACAGACAGGACAACGGACAGACTTGCATCCCTAAGCATCAGGCCACTGTTTCTGTCTTATCACATTTCCTGTGAATATCTGTCTCAGACGGGGAATTCTGTTGTGAAGATGACATCAGCCTCAACCTTTCAATTTCATTAGTATACAAAATGTTGCCTTTTTAATAAGCATTGGCTCATATCCATCACAACATCAAAGATCATGATTAAACTTGACCGGACAAAACAAATTGTCAACAGTTTAACACAGATGGTCTGTGAATGATACTTCAAGCCAATCAGCAAGAGTCCATCTATAAGAGTCGTGGTTCATGTAATAAGCAACTACCAACACCAGCGAGCTTAATCAGAAGCCAGGGCACAAATAATAACATCTGTGTCAAGAAACAAGTTCTAGCAGTGGTTGGATGCTAGTTTTGGATACAGACTGATAACTTTGTTCACACTTGCCGATATCATACACAAAGTACCAACCCATTTATACTTCACATTTAACGTAACATTTCACATAAAGCATTGAGAACATGCCACAATTAGGCCAAATAAATGTTGTGGTTCCGATTACACCTCTTTAAAATTTAGGGTAGATAGGATTTTTTGTTTACATTTTTTTCAGAAGTAAAGTACAAACTAATAACACATTTATCAATGTGTAATTGTTTATTCAATCAAGCTTGCAACCATCATGTTGACTTTCTCTATGAGAATGACCGGTGTCCGTCGGTGCCGGGGGAAAAAACAAGGGTATCTAAAAAGCTTATTTTAGTCATACCGCTTCAGAACCACATCAGGTTTTTTAGGCCTTATGCAAGCTCAACAAGGTGGTTGATTAAAAACAGCTAATGTTAGTCAGGCAACATGAAGCATTTGTTTGTGGTTCAACTCAACAGAATGCACCATATGAAAGGAGACAGTAAGCATCTAAGTCGAGTCCATACAATCCAGTGACAGTTCATGATGTCAGGGAATAACAAACTATCAACTAAGTCACAAAGTCTGACCACTCAATAGGGCCCGTAGTTAGGTCATGGAAACACCCGAGTACTTTCTGTGACAAACAACATTTTATACATTTTCGAAAGGTCTAATGGTTGTCAGTTGACAGTAAGGAACCGATAATCCTTGCAGGAATAACAAATTTCCCATCTAACCATCCCAAAATTATCCAACTATTATAACTCAACAGCTGTGACAGCCAAGCATGGTTACGCACTTGGTCCGGTCTAGTCAAGTCGTATTTGGCGGTTGCGCAATATGGAACCAGAACTGGCGCTTGAATATACGCTTGTCACCAGAAATCTTGTTCCGGAAGTAAGCTGGGCCCCGTCTCGTATATCACAAGTTGCCGCACGCAAAGGGAGCTGGGAACTAGCTTAGAACCGTAAGTAGTGCCTCACAAGATACAGGCCCTATATTTGAAAATATGTGAGGTTAGCACATGAACAATTTTCCTGAGAATAAGATGTTTTTTTGCAATTCCAAAATTAAGAAAACTGCTATATGGCACGTGAAATGAAAATCACCTGAACTACACATTAAATTAGATCAACTTTTATCAGAAAAATCTTGATTTAAGGGAGAACATTGATCCAGCAGTCAGGCATACTAACTTGGTTGATTGTGTACTGTTACTGTGTGACATATAGACAGGGTCCAATGTCAATATGTCACCACATAGACCAGGTGCTACCAAGTGAATTAATCAGGCTGCACTATAACATCAACAATCTTACTGGTGTCCATGACAGTAGATGACTCCTTATCAGGAGACTGAAGGGACATTCGTGACCATCTTCACTTAACTGCTCACAATACAGTGCATCTGGAGGAAGTTTCTTACAGATGTAAGCTTAACAACAGACATTTTAATCCATAAGTTACTCTTTTCCGCTTGACCGTAGTCGGCAAAATCAACTTGTCCAGCATCACATGTGATGTATTACGCAGTTAACCACAAATGTTCAATGAAAAGTCACAAGACTGAGTGTACACTGAGTGTGGTCTAGTAATTGATTCACGAGCGTGAAAGCAAACTTGTTTACATTTTTACTTCCGGTAACTAATTACACACAATAGAAAAAGACATCTGACATGGGAAGTTTATACCAATGAGCTGCTGTCATTAGTGTAAAGATTTTGTGGTAGAGTTACCTACACTATAGTCTTTTTGCAGTGAAAACTTACCAATGAATTTCTCTTTAAACAAAAAAGTAAATCGAATCGCTATTATTGACTTGTATTACAAGGGAGTATGCACATTAAATGAAACACCAAGAACAAGTAGGGTTGGTTGAAGTTAACGCTCCTGCTCCTGCATTTGTTTCACTGTTCCATTTGCTGCGCTTACCCCCTTGTAATAAAAATCAATAACAGCAATTTGAATCTAAGATCATTTGTATAACAACTTTTATCCTATGTTGAATAAAATTCTGATATTAAAATGTTCAATTGGCAAGGTTAAATTATGAGGACTCGCAATCTTCATTTCACTTTATTTGATTTACTTTTTTTGTTTTAAGTGAAATTCATTGGTACGATTTTACTGCAAACAGACTGTAGCAATATTTCACCTGCACAGGCACAGCCTGGATATACTGAAATCGAATGCCCGAGATATATATTGGATAGACATTTAATCACTGGTTCATGTGGTCTGTGCAAGACTTAATTATTTACAAGTATAGTAAAATAACAAATAGCAGGAGTTATCTCCCTTCGATTATGATCCCTGTGCCACAAATGTCTGCCTACACCACTTCAGGCTTTCCTCAAATGACAAACTTAGATGTGAGATTTAAAATGTAGTCCAAAGCAGAATTAAAAACAGATTATTCGCTTACAAAAATATTTTCAAAGTGATTGATACCACTTGAAAAGAATACACACATGCAAAACCATATGTTAACTTTAGATGGGCAAATTGAAACTATCACCTGTATCATAGTTGATCAACTGAAACCATGCTTAATATGTATGAAATGTGTGCACCCTTTAGCTTGAGTTTGAAGGCAAAAACCAGAAATATCTCTGTTGGCCACAAACTTACAAATATTTTCCATATGGTCACAAGTCGTTTAACCAAATAAATGTATATGAAAACAGGCATATGGGTGGTTTTGTGTCCTATGACAGAAACATTCATTGAACAGTTTGACACCAAAATGTCAAGGTATATATTCCACACTTTCTCATATTACTGTCAAAATGTTGTGAAGTATATCAGAAATAATATTCATATCAAAATGGAGTTCATAAAGATGTACATTTCACAGCCATAAAATCTGTCTGCACAATTTGTCAAATGTATTGTGAACATGGTGAAACTGTGCTACAAATACATTAACTCGCCTCACATTACCCCCAATGTATTAGAGGAGAATGTGTCAATATGTTTTCCCATGTGACAATCACTCCACGTGGCCCACAGGCATTATCAGCCAGGTAGGTCAAAGGCACCAGCTGATAACACATACCTGACTAACCTACAACCAAAATTCACCTACCACATGACAATATCTGCATTAAATATTTCAATCCACACAGAAGTAAACGTGTTGATAAGGCATGTGAAATACAATACCATTTAATATTACACCAAACAATCAAGAAAACGATTCTACGATACTAAACCGGACACATCTTCGCTGAAATAGCAGCGAATGAATACTTCATAATGAGCGAACGATCCATAATTTACCTTTAAAGTAAATCTCACCTGGTTTATGTATCGGTACATGCGATGGTTTGGCCTTCCCTTTAGTCCATGGATTTGTTTTCGGGGGTGGGGCTTCCACATAATTCTTGTTGTCACCCTTTTTCGTGTTAGATTTCGAGTCTTTGGGTACACTTGGCGATGCACTAGAAGCGTCTCCCGAGGCGTTAGTTTCGCTCAATGCGTTTGAATCTGCATTTGCAGCACGTGGGGACTCCTTTGGAGTTTCATCCGAGGTGTTAATGTTCGGCTTTGAGACCTCAGAAGTGTTCTGTATGGAACAATCTGTTTGATTTGTCGGAGCCGAGCTCACGGCCGTCGCCATGTTTGTTCCACCAGATGTTGATTTCCAAGTTAGGAAGGAGTGTAGACTCGGTGTCGAGTCTTGCTTAATCTCAGCTGCCACTGACAACCGACAAACCCGTCGGGCTCATGTATAACCAGGTGAAAATATCAACAATCAGTAGTTTATGGTAACAATTCTCAATTTTGAGACGAAAAATTCAAGTTTCACAACACCAAAACACGACAGCCAGTCTCTTTGAAAAGAAACTAGTTATTACTCAACTTGACAAAACGACAATAGTCTTTAGAGATAAAAAACATATCAACAAATAATAAAATGTCCTTAACACAATATAAAAGGTCTTGTCTTCACACACCAAACTCCTCGGAAAAGTGTTCTCTTACGTTTCGGGTTGTTTTCAAAAACAGCGTATGGACGGGACACGTTGGCTTAATTTCGCCTCTCCAGTGTTTAATTTCTCTTCGCTTTCAAAATCTTTAGGTGAGTCTGTTCACGTACTATTTCCCAACCGATGAATTATCAGTGAGCACTATTCGAAAGTGCAACCTGCAAGGCTAACATGGCTAGAGAAACACTAAATTCCTCCATGAGCACATGTCGCCATAAGCACAAGAAGGAACTGCGCATGCGCGACAACACGGAATTATTGTGCCCTGACCTCAACAGGACTACTCAACAGAGCTCTCAAGACAGTTGTATAATATAGATCAAACGGCTTTTAAGAACACCGGCCTACTATGTACAGTTAGGCTAAGGTCTGGTGAAGGCAGCATGTCCAGATACAGAGAATATATAGTACTATAAGATCAAATTGTTATCGAGAGACATTTAGAACTTACAGTACCAAGGAAGGATAAAATATATGGACTAATAAATTCTTTATTAAAATTAGGATCGAAGTGTCACATCACAGTGTTAGAACCAACATCAAAGCGTCGCTACTAATTGTAATAAAGACGTTGTTCATCAATATATCTTAATCTCCCTGAGGTCAAACACATCAGCTTTTAAAACAGATATATCTCAAAGATATTGGATGTATTTTTATTTTAGAATAAAATCGTGTATACACGTGTTTATAGCTGGGACAGTTTTAAAGAACACTATTATATCCAACGTATTAATGTTGTCGTCAAATAATATTTTGTTACTGTTTTCCGAATCTCCAAATCGGTAGATTTGTCAACCAAAATATCAAACGTGTATGTTTACATGTTATATAATTTGAGAAGAAACTAGGTACTGTTTAGACTTGTACAAGCAGTAACTATTAGTTTGTATCATATTTTCTAAATTACATGTATATACATAATAAAAACAAGTTACTATTTTCTTATCTAGACTTGCTTATTATAAGAGTAACCAATATCACCATCAAAAGTAGAAGTGGCAGTTGTAGAAGGGGGAATATCGGACCGCATGATAAAAATAGCCATTATCATCATCATCGTCATCGGCAGGTTGGTTGCTTGCTTGGTTTGTTGATTAACGCCACACTCAGCAATATTCTAGGCAGTCAGTAAATAATCGAGTCTGGGCCAGACAATCCAGTGTTCAACATCATGAGCATCAATCTATGCAACTGGGAACCGATGACATGACAGACATGTGTCAATCAAGTCAGCAAGCCTGACCACCCGATCCCGTTAGTTGCATCTTACAATCGACAAGCATGGGTTACTGAAGACCATTTCTAGGAGGAGGTGGAGGAGGAGTATCCCCCCATTCAACCAGATGAAATAAATCTATCTTAGATTTAGTAAAATTGAAATGACACTTTGCACTCGCAACAATTGTTTTGTTTATCATCAACTACTCAGCAATAACTCCAAGAGCAGGTACAAAGATTACCAGTCTAAGTAAATTTAGCCTCAGTATTATTCGTTACCCTACTATACAGTAGAGGAGTGTAACGAATAGTACTGAGACTAAGTTTACTTAGACTGAAAGATTACACTCCAAGCTAACGAACAAATGAGTAGTGATAATGCTGTTGCTGCTGCAGATGATGATGGTGATGATGATGATGATGATGATGATGATGCTGGTGACCATAATTCGAGTCGTCTGCATGTGAAAAATTCACGAAAAGCAGATGCTGATTTTTAATAGGCGCGTCATAGCTCCAAACGAAATCGCCTGTGATGGGTTATCTCCCTTTATCTGATTTGTCCCACTTTGAACAGCGCAATCATG